ACTTGAAAATAGTATGGGCCAATCAATATTAAAAGCCTTCTTAAAAATAACAAGTTTCTTATACAAAAAAGCATTGAACCAAAATACATGTTCATGGTCTGATAGCTTCCTTAAATAGCTTAGAGCTTTGATGTTAAGTGTGTTTATTTTGACCAAGAGAGTATATTCATAATGACAGTTTATAGACCGCAGGAGTGGACTTTGCCATAGGCATGCTTGCAGCACTATTGTAGCTCTTTTTTTCCTAACTCAAACTTTTTGTGATATTAATAAAAGTGTAATTCCCAACAATTACAGCTGTTACAAAGCTGATTTGAGTAATGTATGGAAAGTGTGTAATCAGGTAGCTTACAGCTGAGTTACTGTTGTCTCTTATTTGAGATCTCAGCTGATATGCCCAAGATTACCTCCTGTTGGAGTAGTTTGGGATCATGACTTGAAAAGCTGCTTCAGCTGAAGTATTTAAACCTGGGAAGGTAGCCTGTGTCATCTTATGAACTTAAAACCCAAGCACCCACAAGTGAAATGATGAATTTATGCAACTTAAAAAGCCAGTAGAGAAGAACAATCTTTATATTAGGATTTTCAGGAATGGGATTTTTAACATCTGTGAAGTCATAAGAAAAACAAAGAAGCAGTATGTTAAAGAATGAAAATTTTTTTCTTGCTGTAAACAAAATGCAACTCTGGGATGTGGTGGTGTGAGAGATGTATTCAGTTTCCTGAAGTCTGCCTGCCCGTCCGTAAGGGACAGAATGCCAGAGCCTTGGCACTTCTCGCTTTTGTGCCTCCGCTGCCTGAGGCTGTCTATGCTTGGAGGTTTTCAAGGCAGAGGAGACAGCCTAGTCTTTGGGAAGTATATGACTGTTTTGAAATACAAGATCCATTTCTGTTATTTATGGAAACAATAAATAGTACATATGAACAAATCCTAGTTCTTGGTAGCAAATCTAATCAGTTGCAAGTGGGATTTCAAGGGAATATTATATACACATCTTGTATACCGTGGCTGCGCTGTTACCTTCCCTGTGAGCATACCATGCTGGGCTCACCTCAAGAGCGTGTTGTGGTGTGCTGGAAACCACAAATAGCTCTTGTTGAATGAAGAACAGAAAAGCTATGCCATATCCTTATGTTAATCTTTTGCTTCCTCCTTACTGTAGCTATATTTATAATGCAAAAAGAATACAGCATTATAAAAGTGTAAGTCTTAAAAAAGCCCACATTTTCTTGTATAAAATTTAAGCAGACTATTAGCTAGTGTAATCTACTTGGTGCTTTTCTGAACAGTTGTGCTCTCTAATGTAACGTTATTAAAATATTTTCCTGGTCTTTCAATTCATATACTATAACGTGTGCTATTCTATTACACGATTGCTTTAGGAAAAGCTCCTTGAGTTTGCAGATTAAAAAGATGGGTGTCTACTGCTTGCTTTGAAAGTGTGCAATTTAAATTACCAAATTAAATCACGTATTGTAAAGTCAGTGGAAAAAATGGAGCTGAGCTAACTGAATAAGAAAATTTCAAAACACTTTTGCCAGGTATAGATAAAAGGAAAAATAAAATTCTCAGTTGTTACATATTTTTGTCAACAGTATCCACTTGTATGGGGGCTAGACACTGCATGTGTTGCAGTTATCTTTTCTTTAAAGGTAAGACCCTAAATCACCTCATCCGCGAGCTGCTTTTTGCTGACGATGCCGCCCTTGTTGCTCACACAGAAGCAGCTCTGCAGCGCTTAACATCCTGCTTTGCAGAGGCTGCTGAGCTTTTTGGGCTGAAAGTAACCTTGAAGAAGACCCAAGTTCTTTACCAACCTGCACCTTAGGAAGTCTCCCAGCATCCCCACATCACCATGGGCAAATCAGAGCTTAAGTCAGTCCAGCAGTTCAGCTACCTAGGAAGTATTTCCTCTGATGGTCAGATTGACAAAGAGATAGACAACAGGTTAGCAAAGGCATACAGAGCTTTTGGAAAACTCCATAAAAGAGTCTGGTGCAATCAACACCTGAAGAAAAGTACAAAGTTTAGTGTCTACAGAGCCACTGTCTGTCTGCTCTTTTATATGGGTCTGAATCGTGGGTCATCTACTGC